CGCACCTGCAGCCTGAGCGCCCCGGACCCCGCGCCCATCCGATCCAGGACTCCCTCGCGCAGCCACTCCGCCCAGGCGTAGCCCGCCGGCTGGGTGGCCAGGTCGGCATGCCACAGGGCCTCCAGCGCCGCGGCCAGCTTGGCCGCCAGCGGTGCGGCGAGCCAGGACGCCTCCAGCGCCAGCCGGGGCGGGGCGAGGCCGGGGTAGGCCTCGTGCAGGGTCAGGCGCAGTCCCAGGGGGGGTAAGTACTGGATGCGGGGGGGGGGTCGTCGGCGGATGGGGAGGAGCTGCTGGGCCCCTCCCCGGCCTCCACGCAGAGGGGGAGGCCGGGCGCGGGCAGGGACAGGTCGAGGGTGACGGCGCAGGCCAGGGACCAGGTGGCACCGGGGCCCGGGTCCTCCATCTGCATCAGCTCCTCCAAGCTGAGCCCATGGGTGCACGCGGCGTCACCCCACCCAGGGCGGGTGAGAGACTGCACCCGGAAGTCGGTGCCATAAATGGCGTCCAGGGCCTGCACCTCATCCACCACCTCCCGCCAGTTGGAAGGCGAGAACATCGTCACCCGGATTTATTCTTGGCTTCGCCGGTTCTTTCTCGGGGCAGTCGGCGGAGGGCGCCCCAGGTCCGCATCCTGTCGGGGGAGGGGGAGGCGAACCGGGTGTGGGGCGTCGCACATGAAGGGCACCACCATGCTCGCAGCCCCTCACCACATTTCCACACCGCGCGCGCACCTCTTCAGTTGTTCGGAGCAGATGATGTACCCCACTGCCAGCAGGGAACAGGCTAGGAGCACGAGAATGGCATAGAGAGGGAGCGCAGTGGCGTAGTGGGCGGACGGAAAGTACGCGAACACGGGCTGGTCCTTGTCCACAAACGGCTGTGGAGTGTGGGGAGAGATGCTCGTCGATGCCGGAATACCAGAGGTAAAGTTGCATGGCCGAAATGGTGATGCATCCCATGGCTCACTGTCAGCAGGATCCAGACGGTGTAGTACGCATAGCCAGCCAGCAGGAGGAGGAGCAGCGACCAGGACAGGAGTCGCTGTCCCATACTCTTCATGGCCTGTGCAAGCCTCGCATTGTTTTCAAGCTGGGGACGAGAGGGAATATGGATCGGTTCGCTGCTGTCAGGTGGCCTAGTGGGGCAGGTGGGGAGGCCCCGCGTCGTCAGCGTTGATGACACCGCTTGCCTGCCCGACGGGCCGACTTGCCCATGGTCCGGTGACTCGTCATCCCCCCCTCCCACAACTGCCTCGCACCGCCCACTCTACCTTCACAATTAGGATACTCGATAAGAACATCGCAAATTTCAGGCAGTGTGGGGGAGGGGGGCACCAGATCGGTCAAGGAGCGGGAGTAATTGGGTCAAGCTCGTCCCAGGGAGCACCCCCACGATTCAAGCGTGGGGCCAGAAGGGGAAGCAAGCTTATAGCAACATGTAAATCATGCCAGAAGGGCACGGGAATGAAAGGATGGGGATCGTGGGAGGGGCGCAGGGCCACACAAACATGTACAGTACAGGGCGAGGCGGGCCATGGGGCACGCGCTGACTCAGACTGCGCCGTGTCTGGCATGGCCTCACCACCACCGCCGCGCATCAGAGGATATCAGTGGGTGTGAGTATATGACGGGTGCACAATTCACGCGTGGCCAGAGAGATCTCGCTCCAGGGGCTGCCGCCCGGCCTGCCCGAGCCGCCGCACGCCGTGCCACTCCAGGCTCCAGCGCAGCGCCGACCTCCGGGTCAGCACCGCCTGCGGCCAGGGCAGGCGGGCGCGCAGGGCATCCAGGGCGGCGTCGGCTGCCTCCGACCCCTTGTTGGCCACGCGGCGGGACAGGCGGCGCGCCGCCCTCAGGGCCAACGGCGACTGGGAGTGGGCGCCCGTCGCCAGCTCCATGCCCAGGCTGCAGGCGTCTGACAGGGTGACGTATTCCACGGTGTCGGGCAGCTTGGGCACCAGGCGGGACACCGTGTGCGCCCAGGCGTCCTCCAGCGTCACGTACTCGACGCCGGCGGGCGGGGCCTCGGTCGGGCCGTCGTGCATGGGCGTGGGTGGCCTTGTAGAGGCCGCTGACGCATGCTCCAACCCCGCGGCAGGGGCTGTGGAAGCTGAGGGAGCCGCTGGACCCGCGCCATGAATGGTGTGTGGGATTGGGGGGAAGGCCGCCGGGATCGGGGACCCGGAGCCACGGACCGGGCCATGCTCCGACATGGGCAGGTGCCCGCTCGAACCGAGCGCATGGGCCACCCCCAGCCACAGGTCGCCCTCCTCCCGTCTGCAGCGCCGGATCATGCGATGAAACTTAGGCACTACAGACTCAAGGACTTCCCGGTCTTCCTCGGCCTCCCACTCCTGTGCAGAGGAGGGTGGGGAGGGTGGGGGGGAAAGGTCAAACATGGACCCAGCCCTCCGATCGGTAAGCCCACCGCTCGCGCGTGAGGTGGCGCAAAATGTACAGTGGCATGTACTCAGTCACATCGCGCACCTTGAGTTGGGCGGCTGCAAGCTGTCGGACCCTCCATAATGAATGGAGGGTGTCCAGCACCACGGCAACGGGGAACGCCAATTGCACCACCCCTTTCAGGCGATGTACGAGGCGCAGGTCCATGGGCCACCCTGTGAAGTTACAACCGGCATGGTGTGCGGCCATGGGAGCCTTGTAGCTCCCGTCAGCCTTACAGGCGGGCGGGGTGCGGGTGGGGAGGGCCCAGCATCCACCGTGATCGAGCTCGGTGGTGGGCTCAGCACGCGGCTCATGGACGGCCCTGAACGCGCCACTCCCTCCCAATGTGAGGAGCGATGACAACAAGTCTGCATGAATGGACCCAACCATTCCTTTATATCGACTGGGATCCATCGACACCTTTTTGTTCCCAGGTGGAGACTCACCTTCAGGTCCTCGCTGGAGCGGTGTTTTGCATCCGGAAGGGTCCAGGCCCCGCATCACTTTCTCCCGCGCTTGGCTGTCTTCCCCGTGACCCAAAAGCATGGCCATGCTCGCCGCAGCAAAGAAGGCCGGGGTCCTGGGCGGCCTGGCCGTGGCCTCGGGTCTCGGGACCGTGGCCTACTGTGAGCCTGACAGCAAGTACTTTGATCCCGAGGCCCTGGAGAGAGGTGCCAAGGCCTTACGGGAGATCAACCAGTCCCCCTATGCGAAAAAGGTGGGCCTGGGTATGTTGGGCCGCGTGGGAATGGCGTCACGGTCAGGAACGCACCTTGCATCACATTGATGTTTGCCTTGCAGTCGTGGGCACTGTCATTCAGAACCATCATCAGATCTGTCTGCAAGACCTCCCCTGTGGCGCCGCCCGAAGTCCACCCATCCATGCTCCTCGCCCCTCCCATGCCACAGGTGTTTGAGCAAATCAAGGCTCAGGAGGCCACGAAGCAGGCGGAGCTGAAGGCCAAGGAGGCAGAGTTCAAGGCCGAGGCCGAGAAGGCCTCCATCGTGAGCGATGGGGCTTTGTGGGGATGGCATTGGTTTGGTGAGGGTTCCTTCGCTGCTCACGTGGAGCCTGTGTTTTCTGCAGAGCCCCTGCGCACTGTCGCTGCTGCGATAGATCTGGCCCCGACCTTGCTGTTTGGCACCCGGGCACCCCCTCCCTGACACCCCCCCAACACCCCCCCTCCTCCACATCATCGCAGCAACACGAGCGGGTGCGGTGGGAGGAGCAGCGCAAGGCCATGCAGCAGGACTCGCAGCAGAAGGCCCAGCTGGCACAGTACCAGGACGAGCTGGCGCGGAAGCGCGCCGAGGCGGAGCACGAGAAGCAGCGCGCGCGTAACGCGGAGTTGGTGGCGCTGCAGGACGAGTCGCACCGGCGCCAGGAGGCGGAGCGCGCGCAGATCGCGGCCCAGATCGAGGCGGAGCGCCGCGCGACCGAGGCCTACAAGGCGGGGCTGGAGAAGGAGGTGCAGCGCGAGCGCGCTCTGGCGGAGGCGGAGGGGCGCACCGCGGAGCGCCGCGCCAACGCCGACCTGTACCGCAGCGAGCTGGCGCAGAAGCTGGAGGAGGAGCGGCGGCGCCTGGTGGAGGGCATCAACACCGTGTTTGGCAACCTGGGCGCCGCGGCGGCGGGCCTGCTGGGCGACCGCGACCGCCTGCTGGCCGCGGTGGGCGGCGCCAGCCTGCTAGCGCTGGGTGTGTACGGCGCGCGGGAGGGCACGCGCGTGGCGGGCAAGGCGGTGGACCGCTGGTTTGGCACGCCGCGCCTGGTCCGCGAGACCTCGCGCCGCCCGCTGCTGGGCCTGCGCGCCGCGCCGGGGTCCAAGTCCGCCGAGGCCGTGCGCCGCGACTTCTCCGACATCGTGCTGGAGCCGCGGCTGCAGGACCACGTGCGCGCGCTGGCGGCGGTGACCGCCAACACCAAGCGCCACGGCGCGCCCTTCCGCCACATGCTCTTCTACGGGCCCCCCGGTACGGGCAAGACTCTGGCCGCCAAGCGCCTGGCCCGCACCTCCGGCCTGGACTACGCCATCCTGTCCGGCGGAGACGTCGCCCCCCTCGGCGGCGGCGCCGTCACCCAGATCCACGACACCTTTGACTGGGCGGAGCGCTCTGGCAAGGGCCTGCTCCTCTTCATCGACGAGGCGGATGCCTTCCTCTGTGAGTGCCAGGGTGTTGTTGTTTTCTTCTTTACTTGGAGCGTGGGGTGTGTGGGGAGGATCCCCTGCTGCGGGGCTAGAATCACCCGGGCACCCGCACCTCTGCATCCTCTGCACCTCGCTGGCCTCACTCCATCTCGTGGGCACAGCCCCCATCGCTCCCATGCGGACACCCCATTGGGCGCCCAGCCCCTCCCCTTCCTCTCGACAGTGACCCCCCTCCTCCTTCTGCTCACCTCTCGGGTCCCCCCCCCCTAACCCCGCCTCCACTCACGCAGCCCGCCGCGGTGCGGGGATGAGCGAAGGCATGCGCGGCGCGCTGAACGCCATGCTCTTCCGCACCGGCGACCAGTCCCGCGACTTTGTCGTGGTCCTGGCCACCAACCGCCCCGCAGACCTGGACCCCGCCGTCATCGACCGCATGGACGAGGCACTGGAGTTCGCGCTGCCCGCCGCCGGCGAGCGGCGGCGCATCCTGGACATCTACTTTGACCGCTACATCCTCAAGGCGGGCACTGCGCAGGGCGGCGCGGGGGCTGGCAGCAACACCGGGGTGTTTGCGAGGCTGGGAGCCTGGTTCAGGTGAGCTGGCGTCGTTGGTGTGTGGGTGTGGAGGGGGAAAAGGGGTTGGGTGCATGTGTTGGGTCATGGTGTGTCCGGCACGCTGCCGATGAAATGAGAGGCCTGCACCACGCGTCTTGGACCCCCCATCACACCCCCCACAACACCACCGCGCGCGCGCAGGGGCCGCGGAGATGTGGACCGCATCGCCGTCAAGGGCGTGGACGGCGCGCTGCTGGACGAGGCGGCGGCCGCCACCGAGGGCTTCTCCGGGCGCGAGCTGGCCAAGTTCATGGCCTCGGTGCAGGCGGCGGTCTACGGCTCTAAGGACGCCGTGCTGGACGCGCCCATGTTCCGCCGCCTGCTGGACATGAAGGTGGGGGAGCACGCGCAGCGCCGTGCCTTCATGGCGCCCGAGCTGTGAGGCGAGGGAGGTTCTCCCCGCTGTGCTCTCGTGGCTCCTCCCTGCTGTGCCCTCAGGGTCGACAACTATGTGACTTACAACATGCACAGTCTGTGAGCGAGTTGAGAGCCAGAGGTGCCTGCATCGAGCAGCAGATGATGTGGGCACAAAGGCTTTGCGCGGGTTTGGATGGAGTGGACGGGTGGGGGTGATGATTGATAATCGTAGGTGTGGGTATGTATGATTGGGGGTGGTTGGAGTGTTGAGTTGTGTGGTTGGGGGTGGGTTTAAGACGCAAAGCGTCAACTAAAAATTCTTAATGTGGCGTTGTGTCGAAGATACGCGGTGCGATTCAGTAAAAGGCGGAATTGCAACTCGTTCGTATCTACGACGCCATACCAGTACTTGCGCCGTCCGACCCATATGTTGCAGGCCTCGCGTCGCGATGTCAACATCCGATTATGGGTTGGACCGAGGAACCTGGTGAAGGCACCGACCACGCACATTTGCGCACTCGCACCACATCTCACTTATAATCACAGCCCATCAACCTCACAGCATCCATTGTGTCAGCTCATCGATCGGTCCTTGGCGATCCACCCACATGGCCATCCTCCGGCACTCGGAGTGATGCAAGCCGCTCACCAATCCGATTGAATGCTCACAAGATCTGTGCTTAAGTCTGACTGATACACTCCCTGTGTGCTTGTCAGGCGATGGAGGTGCGGTCCTGTGCTCACGATGCCATCTTTCGAACCTTTACCCGCTGCGGCGAGGACCCACTGACACTGCTGGTGGATCTCCGGCCAGCCAAGGAATTCCTCAAGCGCCACATCGCACTGTCCTACTGCATCCGACTAACATCGAATGGCCAGGCCCTGGTTGGTGAGCGCTACGGCAGAAAGGGGAATTGTAACAGAGTATCAGCAATGTGTGTGCAGCTGAATGGCTCGTGGCAATGATCAATGAACCTGCACAGGAAAAATCACAGCTCCCCCGCAGACTATAGCAAGAACGAGTATGACGTCAAGTGGAGCACTGGGTGCTGGTGGGACAAACCAGTGATCCTCTTTGGGCCACCAGCGCTGCGAAAGGACCACCCTGTGGTCGCCTTCCTGGCCAAGGAAGGCCGAGCCAGGAGCCTGCAATACTTCCCGCACGGGTGAGGCCGAGGTTGAGGGACCGTGAGGGTGATTGATTGCTGAGGAGGACAGGCCCGCAGCCCCAAGTGGGCAAGCGTGTGCTCTGCATTCTGCCGGGCTGGATGACAAGTGGCCTGCGGAGGGCTTCAAGGCATAGTATCCTGCCCAAAGGCTGCTCTCCCACTCATCATGCAATGCTCCAGATTTGGTGATCTGGCAGAGGCGTACCCCTACCTGACGACTGCCTCTGTCAGGCCCAGCTCCAGCCGAAGGTACTGGTGTGGCTGGTCGCGCGCTCAGGGGCTGCTCCAGGCCCCATACTGCCATGGACCACTCTAAGGCATCATGGATGGTGGCGCTGTGGTGCAGGCCCCCCCTCATGCGCTCTTGTCTCCCTGCAGGTATCCCTCCCTGATTGAGCCGGGGCTTTACCTGGGGGACTGGGCATCTGCCGAGGCCACCGACAGGCTGCAGGAGCTGGGAGTGCGGAGGTGGGTGGCGGCTGCAAGGTCCTGGATGCCTGGGAGCTCAGAGGGATGAAGGGCGCGGGGGTGAACACGGCAAGCATTGAATGGTGCACCTGGGGGGGTTGCATGCATGCACATCGTAGGCCCTGCCTCTCCTGCACCCTCCCACCCCCCACCTCACTCCCCTCGCACAGCATCGTCACGATCCACAACAACCCCGAGAACCTGGCCGTGGCGGCCGGCACCTCCCGCCTGGCCATCCAGCTTGCGGACGTGACGACGGCCGACCCCGCGCCCTGGTTCGACCCCGTGGCAGACTTCATCGCCGGGGCCCGGGCCGGGGGCGGCGCCGTGCTCGTGCACTGCGGCGCGGGGGTCTCGCGCTCCGCGACCCTGGTCATCGCACACCTCATGCGCTCGCGGGGTTGGTCGGCGGAGCGAGCGCTGGCGCACGTGACAGCCGCCCGCTCCGTGGCGGCGCCCAACGATGGCTTCTGGCGCGCTTTGTGCGCGCTGGAGTCGCGCCTTGGCCTGGCGCAGCGCAGCGATCCTGACAAGTTTGCGGGGTCCAGGGGCGCGGACGCCGGGGACGAGCCGGCGGCTGCGCCGGCGCGGGGGGCGGGCAGCGGCGTCGGGGGGGCACGCGGGCCACCTTTGTGCCCGCAGGCTCCCCGCCCAAAGGGGGAGGGGACTTGAGGTATAGGTGTGGGAGGGCAGAGGAGAGGAGAGGGGGCGGGGAGCGCAGAGACAGGAGCAGAGACAGGAGGAATGGGTCTCGGAGTCCAAGGAGCAGGAGATCCCGGAGTCCCAGGAGCAGAAGATCCTGGAGCCCGAAGTCAGGGAGGTCTAGGAGCAGGAGCCGGGAGGGCCGCGGGAGTGGGAGGAGGCGGGAGCAGGGTCGGCGGGAGGAGTCGCCAGATGCCAGACACCCAGCGCATGAGCCTGTTGTTGACCCTGCGCTCGGACCCTCGCTATCGATACTGCTGACAGTGCTGCGCGATGACGAGACCCTGGGGACGCTGACAGTCGACCTTCCAGCCCCGGGCCAGGTCTGCACCTTTGGGCGGATGCCCAGCTGCGACGTCCCCTTGGAGCATCCGTCCATATCGCGCGCGCATGCCCAGATCACCCTGGAAGGCGGCTCACGAGCGATGCTGACAGACCTCGGATCGGGTAGGCATGCGGAGGGTGGGCGACATTTCTGCGAGGATTTGCTTGGACTGCCCAGCATGCAGGCCCGCAGCTCAATTCAGACAGGGCGTGGCATCACCTTGCACCCAACTCGTTACATGGGCTCGTCCCTCCAACCATGCATCACCCAAGCCCCATCTTCCCCCCACCACCCCATGCAGCGCACGGCACAAACATCTCTGGGGTGTGGATACGCCCCAAGGTCCCTCGCCGGCTGCAGGAGGGCGATGTGATCCGGTTTGGGGCCAGCAGCCGCAGCTACCGCGTGGTCAGGCTCCCGCATGTGCCGTGAGAAAGCCCTGCCTGCTTCATCTGGCACTGTGTCTGTGGCTCACACCAACATGAAATCAGGTGCAGGGCACGCGTACACGGGTCACAGGCAGTGCTGGCAGCAGGAAGGAAGGTCTGGGCTGCTGGATTGGGAAGCCAAGCACCCGGTATGGTGACCTGTTGAGGGGCAGCATGCATTCCAAGGAATGAGAAAGGGTCACGGCGGGTTCGTTCCTGTGGGATTCTTGGGGCAGCGTTCAGGTAGCAGGGAAGCTCAGCCCCACACCTCCTATGTGTTCATTTTGACTTCACTGGGGCCCCAACTGGGGCACGTCAGCGGAGGGGAGGTAGGTCGATCCGGTCCTGGAAGCGGAGGCAAGGTTCGTTCCCGGGTGGCTTTGGGGTGAGGAAGTCGCCCCATGATCCTGGGCAGTGCCGTTGGGCCCGCTGGGGCCGCTGGGCTTGCCGGCGGAGGAGGGCTGCGCAGCGTCCGACTCCATGCCGTCGGTGCAGGGGCCGCACACAAACTTGAGGCCGTGGCGCTTGGAGTAGTCTTTGAAGGAGCCTGTCGGGGTTGGTGGTGAGAGGACGGGGTGCGGCGTTGACAGGTGGCTTCATGCGGTGCGAGCGCGCACGGAGGTGTGCATGCTTTGTGCGTGGGCAGTTGCATGCCGGAGATCAATCGATCTAGGGACTGCATCAGGCGGCGGTCTTGCCCGGGGCCCGCCGTGCCGCAAGTGACGTGCCCCGCCGGCACCGACACTCGCCAGCGAACGGGCGGCCATGGAGGTGGGCACACACCACCAAACGTCACGTGCCTCTCGGCACGCCAAGTCGCAGGCTCACAGCCCGCACCTGGGTGGGGGCGCTTGTCGCACGAGAAGTGCAGCCAGCGGTCGCAGTTGTCGCAGGAGATCCAGTCGTCCCCTGCGCCCTGCCCGCACACCAGACAGTTGCCGCTGGTGACGTCGGCGGGGTTTGCCTGCGAATGAGGGGGGCCAGGAGCATCGAGGGAAGGGGGTTGCGCCTGGGACGGTGTCGTGCGACGTTTGACAGGTCGCTGGAGGACCAGTGACAGGTGAAGCAGACCAGGCTGCCCCTGCGCCGGCCCCTGCCCATACTTGCACAAAACCACGAGAGCATGCGCCTGTTGTCAAGCCCAGATCCTTCTCACCCTGGGCCCCTCTCCTGTCCATCCCGCCCAGGTGCTCACCTGTTCGTAATCCAGGAGGCAGACCTGGTAGTGGCGCTTGAGCGCGTTCCCCACCCCCGTCAGGCGGTGGTCCTGCGTGAAGTTCCGCATGGCGGGGAACACCTGGCCCTTCCAGTTGATGCCGTTGCCCAGGGCAAAGCCGCCACGCTGGCACACCTCCCTGGGGGAAGGGGGATGGGGCGAGGGAGCAGGCTCAGCGCAGGTCACAGCCCCGCTGCGCCCACCATGGTTCCCATTGAAAATGATGCAAGCCACTGCACCGACAGTGTCCCAAACCTCTGTGGCCAGGGAGGGTTCATGGCAAGCCCAAGCAATCGCAACAGACACCCCCGACCCCTCACTTGTACAGGTTGAAGAGGTCAAGCTGCAGGGCATTCAGGACTGGGAAGAACCCGCTGGTCCGGCCCTGTGGGGGGTGGGAGGGAAGGGGTGCAGGGCGGCTGAGCAGGGCGGATCCCTCAGTGCACATGCCCACACGATGGTGGCCACGTCGGCCAGACCCGTGCGCGATGCGCCGCCACAGGAGGCAGGGGCGTGATGCAGGGCGTTGCAGCCAGGCGCCAGGCCCCTCAGGCCCGTCCCCACCGCGCAGAGCCCGGCAGCACACCTCCGCCTCACCTTGCGCTCCTTCAGGAAGGCGGAGAGGTCTGCGTAGAACTCGGCCTCCGTGCACGTCTTCAGGGGACCGCGCTGGGACCTGGGGCCGGGTGGGGACGCCGGGTCATAAAAAGTGCACGCACACACGCCTGGGTCGACGCCTGCGAGCTTCGCGCCCCGCTCGCACCCTCTGTACCATGCCACCCAGGGCCCAGCCTGCCGGACACCCCTCCCGGCCGCATCCTGTGCGCACCCCCTCGCACACCGTCCCCCCACCTTCCCTGGCACCCACCTCCAGGGTACCACCTCCACGCCGCCGGCCTGCCCGTCGCCCGAGGGCTGGGTGGCCTCGGAGTCGGCGCTTTCCTGCCCCGGCAGGGGGTCCAGTGGGGGCGGTAGCTCCACGCCCTCGCCGTTGTCGTCGTCCTCGCCAGCCCCGCTGTCCCCCTCCTCGTCCTCGTCCAGGTCGTCGCCATCACCCTCCGCCAGCACATCCTCGTCCTCCTCGTCCTCCTCCACCTCGTCGTCGTCGTCGTTCTCGCCGCCAGACGTCGCGCGGCTGGACGTGGCGGGCCGGGCGGCGCCGTTGGCGCCGGCGGCCGGGTGCGCGTCCGCGGGGCGCAGCGGCGCCGACCCGCCCGCTGCGGCCGCCGCGGCCACGGCCGCCACGCGGCGCGCCGCCGCCAGCTGCTGCGCGGCCTCGATGGGCCCCAGCGGCGCGCCGCCCGCGACGCTGGCGGGCGTGCCGCGCGGCGGGCCCAGCAGCCCCGGCCCCAGCGGCGTGTCGCTGGCGAGGTGGGAGGGCGGGGAGCCCAGGCCAGGGCCCGCCGGCGCACGGCCGGGCGTGGCGAGTGGGGCGCGCGGCGCCACGCTGCCCAGCACCGCCGTCCAGCGCGCGGCGTCGGTGGGCTCGAAGGCCGCTACCCCCGTGACCGACACCGCGGCCACGCCCACCGACATCAGGCCCCGGTACTGCTTGTCCTGCGCGCGTCGGGGAGCGCCAGGGAAGGGTGACTGGTGGGGCGAAGGGTGCAACCGTGGCAGGGGAGGTCGCCGGGCGAAGGCATGGCGCGGCTGGCAACCAGTGGGGGAGAAAGGACACACACCCCGGCCAAAAGAACGCCCTTCAACCCACCTGGCACAGGCCTTTGAGCAGGGCGACCATCCAGACCGAGGCGACGGCCAGGGCCTCGACCACGGGCGTGCCCGCCGCCACGGTGGGCGAGGCGCGCGTGGGCGGCGGCGGCGCGCCCGCCGGCGGCAGCTTCAGCTGCAGGCTGTGCGCGTCGGCCACCAGCGCGGCGCGCAGCGCGTGCGCCAGCAGCGCGCCGTCCTCCAGCACGCGGGGCGGGCCGGCGACCACCACCGTCAGCGGCGCGCGCGAGGCGGAGAGCAGCTGCACGCGCAGCGCCACGGAGCCCGGCGGCAGGTGCGGCGGCGCGCGCTCCAGGCGCGCCACGCCGGCCAGCGTCGCGCGCCGCGCCTCCACCGTCAGCAGCCCGCGCAGGGCCTCGCAAACCAGACCCAAGGCTGCGGGCGCCACCAGCGCCGGGTGCGCGGCCAGCAGCAGGCGCGCCTCCGCGTGTGGCGCCAGCACGCGAACCGCGCCGTACTCGGGCAGCGTCGTGGGGTGCGGCGCGGCTGGGTCCGCGCCCGGCGGCAGCGGCAGCGGCGGCAGCGACCCGGGGCCGGGCAGGCACGGCGAGCCGGCGGCCAGGAGCAGGGGGAGCAGGGGCGGCTCGCCGCCGGGGGCAAAGGCGTGGGCGCGCAGCGCATGGGAGGCCAGGCCAAAGGCCTCGGCCACGCTCACGCTGGGCGTGCGCAGATGCGCAAAGAAGGCGTGCGCAAAGTGCATGGCGGGCAGGGCGCGGGGGAGGGGGTGGTTGGCCCAGGTCACCACGTGCGGGATGCCACGCGAGCGGATGC